ACATATATGAATGCAGTAACAATTAAAACATGGGTCATGAATTTGAAGGAGAGCAAAAAAAGGAGTATGTATATGCAGGGTTTTGAAGGGATGGAGGGGAAAGGAGAAATGCTTTAATTTTAGCATAATCTGACAAAATCCCACTAATTTATAGCTAGATGTCTTGACCTACAACTGTCAAGTGTGATTTCAACACTTGAGAGACAGAAGCAGAAGGATCAGAAATTTGTTCAAGGCCAGGCTATATAATGAAACCTCCATCCCAACCAATCGCATGTCTAAATGGGATTTCTAAGTAGAGCGCTTGCCTATTCAATGAAAAGCCCCAGATGAAAAATAAAGAAAAGAAAGCCAACTAATTTGGAGGACCCCCTACCAACTATCATAATGTCTCATATCTGACTTTATACTGAAATCATTTGGAAAATAGGACAAATTCACCAGGATGTTCCTGTTGCCAAAAAGCTGTTATTTTTTTTCAGCATTAATTTCTGTGTGAAGATTGCTGCCTTCAGTTAACACATTTCACAGACCTTTAGTCATTTTCATGTAAAGTGAACTTATCTAGAGACATTTACTGTTAGTCTATGAGCCACAGCTTTAAACAAAAAGTTGGATCCACAGGGTCACATTTTAACCCTATAACCTAAATCACCCATTGTAAGTATTAGAATGCTTTGTAAAGGGTGTTCCAAAGTTGATCTGCTCTCTCTCCTTCTGCTCCTGATTTGGACCTTGAGATTTCAGTCCGGTGCTCCAATGTGTGTCTCTGTCTCTGTCTCCTTTCATCTCCTGATGAATGTTAATATTCAGGAGGATGCCTATATGTTTTTCTTTGGGTTCTCCTTATTTAGCTTCTCTAAGAACCCGAATTATAGGCTCAATGTCCTTTATTTATGGCTAGAAACCAAATATGAGTGAGTACATCCCATGTTCCTCTTTTTGGGTCTGGCTTACCTCACTCAGGATAGTGTTTAGCAAGGAACTCAGGACCGTGAGGGGTGCACCCACACACTGAGACAATGGGGATGTTCTTTTGGGAACTCACCAAGGCCAGCTGGCCTGGGTCTGAAAAAGCCTGGGTTAAAACCGGTCTTGCTGAACATAGCGGACAATGAGGACTACTGAGACCTCAAGAACAGTGGCAATAGGTTTTTGATCCTACTGCACCTATTGGTTTTGTGGGAGCCTAGGCAGTTTGGATGCTCACCTTACTAGACCTGGATGGAGGTGGTTGGTCCTCGGATTTCCCACAGGGCAGGGAACCCTGATTGCTCTTTGTACTGATGAGGGAGGGGGACTTGATTGGGGGAGGGGGAGGGAAAGGGGAGGTGGCTGGGGGAAGAGACAGAAATCTTTAATAAATAAATATAAAAAAGCCAAAGTTGATCTGATAGTAGAATACTATAGAAATTTCCTATATTGTACAGACTGAACTTTGTAACCTCAGAAGTTTCTTAGCATTTTCCAGTTCATCATGTCTGTTAGAATCCAGTAGAAATTGCTTTCGTAAAAGATTTGAAAGTAAATCCCATAGTTTCAGTGAGAGTTACAATATTGTTGTTGCTAATATTTTTCCTTTTATCATCATTGAAATTTAACAAGAGTCATGGCATTAAAATTATAGATTTCATTTTAATATTTAAATAATTTTGTGATGTCTTTTCACCTAAAATATCACTTGACATAAGTCACATATACATAGCACTGAAAAGACTCTATAGATACCTATTGACTTACTTAGTTTATTTGATGCTGTCTTTGGGGAAGACTGAAACAATACAGTAAAATTCGCTAGGAATCACAAGTGTCATAGAATTTTACTAGCTCTATAGCTCTTGCTCTCAAGCTACAAATCTTTGAAGACTATATTGGGTCCTAGATAATATAAAATGTGGATTTGTGTTGAATGAACTGGCTTACTGTGTGAAATGTCTCTGACTTTGACATGAGATCTTTCCCTATAAAAAAAATAAGACCTGAGGTGCTGCACTAAATTTTTATGTATCTGGATCTTATAAGAGGTCAGTTCACAGAAAACTCTTGAAATCTCTGTCTTATTTGGTGTCAAAAGAGCTAGACATTAGTATGAGACATAAATCATCGGAATCTCCGATGTTATCTGCAACCAAATAGAACAAATGCAGTTTTGACCAAATGCCTATGAGCAAAGACCCTCGAGTCACCAGACTTTTATTTTTTGTTGAACTCCTTAAACTTTTACAAAAATGGAAAAAGAGCAATGGAAAAGTAAATGAGGGAAGTAGGCTTGGTTTTGGATTAAGCCAAATTCAGCTTAGCTTCCCCACTTTATACTTCCTCAATATGAGAAATTAAAAATTTAAAATCAATATTATAGTAGTTGTGGTCAATTTTATTGAGCTTACCATATCCATTCAACCCCAGCATAGAACCTACTCCCTTGACATCTCATGTGCTCCCTCCAGGAGGAAACAGATGTGTTGCCCTAGGGCGGAAGCAAGAAATAGGAAGGCAGTGCCATAAATTAGGCAATCGAGAATATATTTTTGAATATATTTGATTTGAATACATTTTAATGATCAATATGTGTTTATTGATCATTAGCTACGGGTCAGATGTGATAGTGAATGTCTCACATCCATGATCTGGTTTTATATTTTTATCAGTCCCAGGAGTTAGGTGTTTTCACTAGCCTCCGCTGAAAGATTATGCCTCAGAAGTCCTAACCTACTTCATAAACAGGGAAATGGACTAATACATTATTCTTCAAATTATCAAATGCAAGGCAAAATTAAAAGCTCTTATGATTAACAGTCATTAATCAGAACGTCCTAATCTCTGAGAATTTCTTTTAATCAGTATTTTACCCATCCTGTAGTATGTTACTCAAATGGTGGAGATGCGTTTAAAATCAAATTCTTTTAAATAATATTGCTCCAATCAGCATTAGAACTTTTCAGTTGTGGCATAATTCTTGGCTATCATCTGTCAAGACTTTAATCACATGACAATATAATGAACTTACCCCCACTAATAAGTTAACTTATTCAATATTCACTATGTATTAGTGTGGTGCTAGGTAAAAATGGATACAATTTTGGGGTGCAGAGTTTCCTTCAGAAGAACTTAACAAGTTTATGAGGAAAATCCTGTTTTAATTCACTTACAATAAAAATAATTACCACAAACATCTATTTCTTAATCTCTGCAGCTACCCTGTGTAGTATTATCACTTATTATACACTTTATGAGACTAGGGATAAAAGAGATTATATGGCTAGCCAATCAGCTCTAGCTACTAAAGGAAACCAAAGATTTGCATTCTCAATGTGTTGTGCATTTTCCCTGTACAAGCATTCTGTTTTCTCCAGAACTTGATCTGATCAGAATGATAATGCGGAAGGAAATGCTAAGAAAGTTTTGAAATTGTTAAATCACTTTGGAGTGATTGAGATCCACATCACTGTGTCTACTTTGTTTGTTATTTTTAGTTCTAGTTATGATACATAGTTAATGGGATGTAGCTAGGATATAGGTGAACAGTTGACTTAAGAAAAAAAGCAAGTTTGATCATTTCATGTACTTACATGTTGTAAACGAAGACTATTTGATAAGTCCCAAAGGACACTTAATGGAGGTGTTCCTAGTGGAGTCTAGTTGCTAGGGAAAATATATTAGCTTTTATGTGGTCTGAAAACATTAACATAAGGACATTTAATAGAAACAATTATGCAAAGCATTTTGCTCAGCATTCATGTTCCTGAGATTTGACTGACATTTACCTATCTTCCAATCTCGTCATTGATGTTTTGTAACATTGTCTTAAGAATTGTACAGTTGTGGGTCATAGAAAAATTAGAGATTAAAAATATGAACCATGTCAGACCATCCTGATTCCCTTTTAAATAGGAAGTAGTGGATAAAAGGCTTGGAAGAAATATGTTTACTTTGGGCTTTCACAAAGCTTTTCTTTCTGTATTTCATGACATTTTAATTGAAACACTTGAAATTCTGCGTGCTGCTGCCAGAGTGAGAACTTAACTGTACTCGCCTCTTTAGGTGTGTCTAAGCTCGGTTTCTGGGCCACTAGCTTGAATGCAGCACAATATAGAATTGTCAATTTACTTAAAATATTAAGGATTTCTGTGATCTTTTCTGTAAGTTTTACTAATGATAGCATCCCTTCTTAGTGTCAAAGATTTTGCCACAGCTCTAAGACTTAGCTAGTGGAAAGCACCTTTTGGCATCCTGTGTGGTGCAGCAATGAATAGTTAAGTATCCATGCCTCTGACAGCATTTGAACGTGATGAGAGCAATGCCAGGAAACCTGGCCTAGAGACCCCCATTATTCCAGCAAGTAAACAACTCCCCACAATGTCCATATCTTTCTTATTTTTCATTTGCCATGAGCTTACAGTTTTGTTATTAGAGACCTTTGTGTTATCACTGGAGATGACTAACACCAGAAGTATCTAATGCTTGTATCTGCATCAATTCAGCAAGCCTCAAAGCAAAATAATAGAGAAGGTCTTAAGGGATAATTCAAAAATTCAAAGCTAACCTTTTTCAAAGAAAAATAGGTCCAGCTACAGAAACATCAAAAAAAAAAAAACAACTTCTATATTTTTTGTTTGAGATGAAGTCTTACTATGAAGTTTGTGGTATCAAACTTCTGTACTTACACGACCTCCTTGCCTCAGCCTCCTGAGTAGCTAGGCCTATCAGCACAAATCACTGCATCTAGGTAGTTCTGTCATTTTAATAGAAGAAGTATAAAACAAAAGTGGGAGGATTCTTAACCAATGGCAGAGTCACCATCTTATATTTTAATTCTGAACTTGTTAACACATCTGCAAAAATTACAGAAGGCAACTGTCTTGAAGGATTTATCTTTTTACACCAAGACTCTGTTAAGACCTACAAGATTTTTTTCCCCCACTAGTAGCTTCTATAATAAAGTCTGGGGATGATCCCAGTCCTTAATGGAGTCTGGACTTGGCTTTCTTTTTCTTCTTTAGGATTGAACCAGCTGCCCTTTGACCCTGCCAACAACAACGAACCCCTGCAGTTTGCTAGTGCCAGTGGCCCTCTGGTTGCAAATGGCCTCATTGAGAATGGAGGGGATTCAAGCAAGAAAAGAAAGAGAACAAATGCTCCTTCAGGTAAGCTAGGTGAAAATGCACTGTCTTAAATCAGTGCTATCCAGGCATTTTTTCCCCATAACCTGCTAGGTTGTGGGCACTGCGCTAGGCAGTGTAGGGATTGCAGAAGCCAAGTCAGAGGTCCATGCCTTTTCATCTGACAGTGGGGCCACATATATGAATAGCTGGTATTATCATCAGTGCTGCAGTTGAATGTGTTCAAGGGAGACAAGCTGAAAAAAGGGATATTTTGATTCACCTTAGAGATTATGTAGCATTTCATACCGCATGTGACAATTTTTAGCAGATCCTCGAAGAATAGGTAGATTTGAAGCAGGAAGAATAAGTAAAGAGTTTTGATTTTTATAGAAAAGAAATTATGTGAGTAACTATTTCACTACCCACTTGTCTTTTTATGAACATGGAACATGGAACACTTTATCTCTAAATCAGGTAATTGCATACATTTCCATCTCTCCAACTCCCAGTATCTCTGCAATGTATATCATGTCCACACGAATACTGTTATTTTAAGACAGTATTTCACTATGTAGCCCGAGCTGGCCTCAACATTATCTGTCATTGTGACTGAGTTGTATGATCAGAGGTTTCTCCACCATAGCAGGCCCCACATGTGTTTTATACCCTTAGAATTAATTAGAATACCCGAAAAACAGATTCTCCATACTCCTCTAAAACAGCACAATGGGTTGTTAGCATTCCCTGAAATCCTTTCCTCATTCCTCCTGTCTCGTCAGCATATTCTCATCTCAATTCTCTCTAAAGTCAATGAGAAAACAACAAAACCAAATATTAACTGATAATTTGATATTCAGGTTTCATCATTTATGTCAGACATCAACTTGAGATATTGGGGTGGGCTTGCCTAATAGACATGTTCATAGGTTGTTTTTTTTTTTTACTATTACTTTTATTTGCATCTTCCAAAACCAAGTATGTTTATGAACACAGTATCATTTTCCATCTTTTAGATCATAGTCAAGATATTTGCTAAGTATATATTTGGAAAATGAAAGTACAGTATAAATATTGCCTTATGGAATCCTTAATATAAGACAGAGTTCTTTTTTGTAGAGTTTGGAAAGGTAAAGCCCAGGAGCTGTCTTGAGTTCTAACTTTGGAGGTCTGTCTCTCTCTCTCTCTCTCTCTGTGTATTTGTCTCTCTCCTTCATTCTTTCTCTCAGCTTAGAGTGAGTTCCTTAGTATCTCTGAGATTCCCTTTTCTTCATGTGCAGCAGAAATGATGCTAAAGCTCTCTACAAGGGATTGTTAGGCAAAGTAGTTGAACATCATACCTACATACAATGACCACTTAATGAATTCTTTTCTTATTACATATGAGCCTCATTGTTTTACGCATCAATATATTTCACTTTTGAAGGTTATCTATTGTTGACACAAAGTATGCTTCGTCGTGTACGTGTGCTTGAGAATGTATTTGCCTTTCGAAACCACATTTGACATAGTTCAACTTGGATCAGTTAGGGACGTCATTGGTTATTTACTGCACTTTAATAATTCTATTACAATTTTCAGAATTTACCAGGGAAGATTATACAACTTTACCCGTATACTAACTTGCCCTGGATTGTGTTGGTTTTCTAGTTATCACAGTTACATTTTATACAAGGCCTGTTCCTTTTCTGCAGTCTGCTGTCACTTAGTCTTCTCAGGGTCCTTTTTTAAAAAAAATTACTTATTTTACATACCAACCACAATTGCCCCTCCTTTCTCTCCTCTCATTTCCTCCCCCACCTCCCCTACATGTTCTTTAGCTATTCTTTTCCTTTTTCCAATTAGTTAATAAACTTTGAAACTATCAAACAAAAAAAAAATCCGTAAAAAAAAAAAAACCTATCTAGCTTTCTAAGTGTGTTTCCCACGTATGTATGTTAAATAAGGGCAGAACTGACTGTCAGTAGAACCTGTCATGGAGAGTGTTCTCATGATTTATAACATCAACTTTAAACGTTGCTTTTGGCTGCAGGCTTTTTCATCACTTGTTCGTTTTTTGCACTATAATCATAAGTGATGGACTAGTTTCAGGCAGTACCTTTCTAACTGTGGCTAACTCAAGGGGGTAGGTAAAAGGGATATGTATTTATTTGAATTGAGAACCAGCTTTAAAGAATTGACATTTGATTTCTAATGAGTTTATTCAATGCGAGCCAAGTTAACTGTTGCAGATAAAGGATTTTAACAGTAGATTACACTAATCTATAATTAGCAGAATCAATTTGCATTCAAATAATGAATATTCTGAAGTTCCTTAAAAACAGTGTATTCTTTAAAATAGGTGGAATAAGCTCCTAGAATGCTAAATTAACTTTCTTGAAATCCTGTTCCCACTATTTGTTTAGTGAGCCCTTTCTTTGTTAAGTAGCACAAAGGTAACACCAACCTGGGTAAATGACTACAAATTCCAAATTGGTGTAGTCTAAATTAACGAGATTTTGCTATAGAAAAAGTCTCTAATAATAGTCCAGCTGGCAATACTCTGATATTTAATGGGTGAGTTGCTTCATAATTTTATTTCTTTCTTGTGCAGGAGTAGACAAAAGGAAGGATGATGGTTTGTGAATAGGAACTTCTCCTTTTTGTCACTGTTTACTACCACATGCCAAAGAGAGAAGCTGGGGTTTGATGTTCTCATAGGAGCTACCAGACATTTCAGTTCTGAGCTACTACCTGTCTGTCCTTTATATCCATAGCTGTGAGACAAAGCTGACTCCTTCTTCTTCTTCTCTGCAAATGAAGTGATGCTGAAAATCGACTTCACCTCCAGGCCGTTCTTATGCCTTTTCTTTCCTTTCGTTCTCATTCCAACTTCATTGCCCCCTTTCAGCAAACTGTTGGTCTCCTTTTGTACTGAACCCAATGTCTTGAAAGTTACTGATGATTTCTGCTGTTGTTCTATTCTCTCAAAGATTCCTGTGGTTTGTTCCCCCAAAGGTTCTTATGTGAGAAGCTTGGTACCAAATATGGTACTGCTCAAATGATGAAATCTTTAAGAGCTGGACCCTAGTGAAAGGTATTTAGGTCCTGAGAGCTCCCTCCCTGGTAAATGGATCAATGCTGGCCTCTTAGAGTGGTCTTGCGGGAATAGATTGATTTCCACAAGACTATATTTTTATAGAAGGGCATGCATGGCCTCTTCCTGTTGTCTTGTTTTCTTGTTTGCACATGCACCCCTTCTTCACATGGCTGATTCATTTTCAGACTCTCTGAAATGTAATGATCTAGTCTGATGGAGGCACAGTACAGTTTGGACTTCCCAATCATCAGAATTATAAGCCAAATAAACATATTGACAAGGTACCCAACCTTGACTATTTTGTCATTATGACACAAAATGAATGGAGACAACCTCAGCAACTTTGAAGTTAATGTACTTCAGGCAGTTTTGGAAGGACATTTTTAAAGTTGATATTATTGATCTATACATTTTTCTCTGCTCCCCTCCCTGATTCTCCCCTCCCCTTCAACTCTCTCCCATGGTCACCATGCTCCCTATTTACTCAGGAGATCTTGTTTTTTTTCTACTTCCCATGTAGATTAGATGCATGTATGTCTCTCTTAGGGTCCTCATTGTTGTCTCGGTTCTCTGGGTTTGTGGTTTGTAGGCTGCTTTTCTTTGTTTTGTTTAAAAACCACTTATGAGTGAGTACATATGATATTTGTCTTTCTGGGTCTGGGTTACCTCACTCAAAATGATGTTTTCTAGCTCCATCCATTTGCCTGCAAATTTTAAGATGTCATTTTTTTTTCTGCTGTGTAGTACTCCATTGTGTAAATGTGCCACATTTTCCTTATCCATTCTTCAGCCAAGGGGCATTTAGGTTGTTTCCAGGCTCTATCTATGACAAACAATAAACATAGTTGGGCATTTGTCCTTGTGGCACGATTGAGCATCCTTTGGGTATCCACCCAAAAGTTGTATTGCTGGGTCTTGAGGAAGGTTGTTTCAACATTGCCATACTGATATTCAAAGGGGTTGTACCAGCTTACACTCCCACCAGCAATGCAGTAGTGTTCCCTTTATCCTACAACTTCTTCAGCATAAGTTGTTATCAGTGTTTTTGATCTTGGCCATTCTTATAGGTGTAAGATGGAATTTCAGAGTTGTTTTAATGTACATTTCTCTGATGACTAAGGATGTTGAGCATTTCCTTAAGTGTCTTTTGGCCAATTTAGATTCCTCTGTTGAGAGTTCTCTGTATATGTTTGTACTCCATTTTTCCCCTTTATCTGATGTGGGGTTGGTGAAGATCTTTTCCCATTCTGCAAGCTGCCATTTTGTCTTGTTGACTATGTTTTTTGCTTTACAGAAGCTTTTCAGTTTCAGGACGTCCCATTTATTAATTGTTTCTCTTAGTGTCTGTGTGACTGGGGTTGTATTTAGGAAGTGTTCTCCCATACCAGTGCGTTCAAGTGTACGTCCCACTTTCTCTACTATGAGGTTCAGTGTGGCTGGCTTTATGTTGAGGTCTTTGATCCATTTGGACTTGAGTTTTGTGCATTGAGATAGATATGGATCTATTTTCATTCTTCTACATGTTGATATCCAGTTATGCCAACACCATTTGTTAAATATGCTTTCTTTTTTCCATTTGATATTTTTCTTCTTTGTCAAAAGTCAGGTGTTTGTAGGTGTGTGGATTAATATCCGGGTCTTCAATTCGGTTCCATTGGTCCTCCTGTGAATGACTTTTCTCAATGTATTTATGTACTGAAAGGTCAAGTCTGTACACTTAACCCCATTTGGTAGCATATTCATTGGCTTTTTTCCCTCCATTTTCAATATGAGCCACAGTTTTAAGATCCAGGATGCTAACTCCCCTTTGAGAATGAATCTCATCTTTGTAATTTGTACTGGTAGCTTTTTACCAGCTTAGCCAGGGTGCCTTTGTCTTCCAAATTAAGCTTTGAAGGCAACAGTTGTACTGGTCTTCCTCTAGACCAGCCATCCTAGCTTGGTCTTCTCCTTGATGATGCAACAG